AGTTCGCAAGTTCTTCGGTAAAATTTTACGAACGACTGTTGTTGAACGTACTGATAAGAAAATGTCAAATGTAGGTTCAGGAATATATTCTTGGTGTGATGTATGCTGGAAGGAATGTTTGGAGCTTGTTGAAACTTTTGGAACAGACGGTAGAGTTTGTTCTTAATCGATGCTATTGTCTGCAGTCACAAACAATATTTCCTTGTTCGATTATGCATAAAATTCTTTATAGTATATGTAGTGCTAGAATGATTCTCGAATTACCGGAGATTCGTCAAGTAATTCAGAAACATCTGGGTGATTCAGAAAATATGCTATCCACTTCAATAGATGTAGGACCTAATTAAAGCGTTCTGTAAATATCTACTGTTTTTATCTTGATCTTTTAATTTTCCAGCAATTAAAATACTCCAACAATATTCAATATATGTATTTGAATATTTAAATTCTGTATCTAATCGGTCAAGTAGTCTACGCCCACGAAGATTTCATATTTCACTACAATTATTGAATAACCAATTGAGCAAAATTATTATCCTCCATTGATATCGTAATGAAGATATCAAGCAGTATTTGTAAACGAACGGAATGGATTCGGTTTGACGTCAAACCGACGTAACCGACTGATATTATTCGTATAAAATACATTGCAGGTCACACCAGGCGGAAAAAGAAAATAAATTAAACGGTAAAATTAAGAATCGAAAGTGGCGATAGGCATAGGAAGCGCGATAACAGTTTTACGCGGAAGCGTTATAACCGTGTATCCAGTAGTAACCTACCTTTATGAGCGACGATCTCGCGACTGCGTTTCCCTTCTCCTCGGGGCCTGACACGTAACGCGAAGGAAGGCGCGCGGGGATATCACCTGGCCGCAGTAAAAGTGAGAAATCTCCTGGTAAACCGTGCTACCCAATGGTTCACTGCGCAATCATTGTTTTAATAATACCACTACACGTGGGGCAGGCGACGACGATGTTCTAATCTGTGACGCACCTTAAACGGTGCTGTTGCCCTGCTGACAATATTGAAACGATCCTTTCTGAATTGGCTCGTTTATGCTATATAGCAGTCGCCTCTTCTAGTCGAAAAAATTTCATAGAACTCTGAACTCTCCGAGGGGAAAAGTTAATCATTCAAATGGCACGAATGTACCGTTGTCTTCTCAATACTCACACATTAATTACAACTATCGTGTGATGTGTGATATAATGCGGGACAGCAGACGGTGAAAAAACAACTCGACAATTGAGAGGTTTGTTGAATCAGAAATAGAATAAAAAGTTTAATGATCTTTGTCTAGTTTCTTTTGTCGATGCGTTTCTCGCATTTGCATGGATCATAAATCCATAAAATCCGCTGTCTGGCTGTAATAACGTATTATGGTACGTCTGTAAATACCGCGGATCGCTCGAAAAACTCAGTCACCTTGTATCCGTGAATTCTATCACCTTATATTGGTCCCGACATTTCAGACTACGTGAAATGTCATTCCTTCGGTAAAAGCATTCTTATTTTAAAATTTCAGACAGTACTGTGGTTATATTTTCATTTTATCAACGAGTAATTCAACTATTTCCAGGAAAGTAGTGAAAATTATAGAAAATGAGAATTATTTCGAATAACAGACGCCGTTGAAGTTGTTCAATATCAGTAAATATCTTCGACGGAGAAAATGATATAATCACAACGCTACGTCGACAGTCATGCAAATGAACCTACACTTTTTCGTCCTGTGGCGCCACGAATCTTGGCCACGGCGAACGTTCCCGGTAATACAACCACTAGGGAAGACGATCCGCGTTTCCGCATTGTCTACGCGTAACAACGAGTCGGAGAACGCCGCGAATTATCATCAGCAGCAGCGGGAAATCGTTCAACTTTGACCTTTCGCGTATCGCGGATCGTTCACCAGACCGCGAACAAACTCGTCGGACTTCCGCGAATATAAATCACGAACCACGACGACGATACGGGAATCATCCGATTCCCGTGGCTGTCCGACACTATTATCACGGAACTGAGGATTTGTCGATCGATTTCGATCCGCAAAATCGACGCACATGCCAGAAATTCCAAGAAAATCAACACATACTGATTTCATACGGGTAAAATAATAACCACAACGAGATGGTCTTTTTGTTTTATCGTAAAACATCTTCTAGGAAAACGGAAGAAATTTCTGTTTGCTTTTTGAAAATTATAATTTGCATAAATATCCGCAGTCTACTGATAAGTCATAGTTGGTCACGGAAGTATCTACCTGGTTGGAAATTGGAAAACTTCTTATAACGGAAATCATTCACAGATTTGACGTAGTATTTATTTGAATGATTAATGTTCTTGTAACTGTACCGAGCGATTATGGGATCTCTGATGTGCATGTGCAAGCAGAAACGGGGAAAACAGTGGATGTTGTTTTCCATTTCTCTTGATAGTTTATATTATGAATCTTGGAACAAAATGACACAACCATCAAAGTTTCTGTCTACTGGTGATACCATATTCTGTTTACATAAACTACGTAAACATAGTTTTGAGTCTATGAGTAACTCACTATACAATTATAAGGTGGAGGAAGTTCCCTAAAACTTGCGAAGCGTATAATGACCAATACCAGACCAACTACTGTACTTATAATCGATCATAGCAACTGAATAATCGTAATCATAGACGCAATACTTATCAATTCATAGAAAAATAAAAACACTCATCAGTTCATCTAATGATTCTCCGTAAACATCAAATTCATTCCACGAACTTGCTACTGGAATGAAGTTCGTAATGAAGCAATTTTTACAGCCACAAGAAAAGATTACGTAGAAACAATTATTTTGACTATAGTTGTTAAACATTAAAGCGGTCCTGATCGGTGCCTGGGAAACATGCCGGCCACGTAAATCGCAAGAAATTGGCGAACGTATGCGGCACACGGTACGCGCGATCGTGTCCGCACAAAAATGTGACCTCTCGAGCCAAGCTGAGCGTAGCGGGCGGAAATTAAAACGGACCGTGCGAGACGTATCTGCTTGTTTCTCAAGCGGCACCGTACCGCTCTGAATGATAATCAGCTCTCGATGCACGCGCGTTGTAAACATGTTTAATTCGTTACGTTTTACTAGGAACATCATGGATAAACAGAGGTACACTTGGGTTCAGTGTTGCATCGGCGACGAAGAATCCAGTTACGTCAGTTGTTGCTATAATGGGCTCCACGAAGTGGTCGGATATCAATGTCGAGAGGAGTCTGTGAGTAGAAGTGTTTCGTCGCTGTGATTCGAGATGTTTCGTGTTATAAGATCATCGATGTCCTCCACCGTTTCGAGTCGACGATATAAACAGCCTATCGTGTGCTGGTTCGTTGTTTTTGACCAAATAAAAACGACTCGTTCGATTGGTAATCGTGACGTTATAAATAACATTGACATCGATACTCGGGCAGACTTGTCCATGTTTGCGTGAACTGTTATTTCGTCTGGATGATTCTTGATTCTTCTCGCCGTAGAAATATTCATCAGCGTATCTTGGTTTTTGTTAAACCGCTGACATCGATTTCTTCCTCCGTGATTCGATGAATCATTACGTATTCGAGTTCCAACGTGGGCAATCGTGTGACACATTAAAGCAATTGCATAATTTGCTGTCTGCTAACTGCAGAAACAGCAAAACAGTTGCGCTATGTCAGAACGCAGAACATAATAAGGTCGAATGAAAATGAAAATATTGTCGTCTCAAGGATGATAAGATTTCGCAGTTTCTGAAAGCAACGTGAGTATTGTGTGAAACAATACGAATACGGAGATACGGATAAATAAATTTTTGTTTATTATGCGGCAACGAAATAATTTGGCATTCCAAATGGATTGATTAGTTAGGAGATTGTCCTTGGACCCTTTGTATTTGTTGTGGGAAACCATAATAGACCAGATGATAGCCCTTGTTGACATTGTACATTACCAGTGTAGCGTTAATTTTCATATCAACCATCTCCGATCGAGCATAATTAACACATACAAGCATAACCTCACCACGAGAGATTTATACGTTCAGTTTATACGATTTAGCACCAGTATTTTGCAAAAGTGCTTATTATATATGTACCCTGTTATCGTTGTTATTATTATTTATTAATAGTAACAGTTAGGTGTAGACATGAATGGGCTAATAGGTTGGTCAACGAGGCGTATTCGTCATATAGGATACGTTCGGCGATTAAAAAAATACATACAAAAAGAGGCGATTCTGGGGTAACACTGATTCAGGTAAATAAAGACATTAATATCGTCTCATCTTGAGACACAATACTGAAGAAGCACCTATTCAGATGTTCTACACATCAATGGAGTTCCTTAAGACACGAACCTGGGGATGCACCTATTCATATATTCTGGGTTAATGGAGGACTCACCGTAAGATAAAATCCTGGGGAAGCACCAATTTAGATGTTATGGGTTAATGGGGGACTCACCGTAAGATAAGATCCTGGGGAAGCACCGATTCATGTGTCACGTTTTAACGGGGACTCACCTTAAACCACGTTCCTAGGTAGGTACCATTTCAGGTGGTCTACGTTAATGTGGGCCCAGCTTAAGGGACGATCCTGGGTCAGCACCGATTCTGGTGGTCCCGGCGGTTGTAGGAGGCAATGCGCCACCGACCTTGGGCGTTCGGTGTCCTCGACATTCTCGCGGGATCGGCACGGTGGTGGTAGCGATGGCCGATTGGCTGAGGTGGGCACCGCGCGATCGCCTCGCTGCTTCGTCCGACACTCTCGGGACGCTGTCAACGCACAACCGTCCAGCGGTCGTGATCGTCTCTCGGTACAGTGCGTGTTGTGTCTCTCTTCGCGGGTTTCTGTTGACACGTGACATCGTCTGGTCTCTGGTCGACGACACACAGGTCACGAAACGGACGCTTGGCTCCGTTTGCTCGCGCGCCTCGCGTGGAGAAATGTGTGGGACGATGGGAAATGTGCTTGCACAGCCCACCGTATCTCGATGCTAGTCGCTGGTTAGTGATTAAGAGGGCAACTTCGACTCCGAACAGAACACAAGAAGACGTTCGTTGCGTGACTGTTGCCGCAGTTGGAATCTTTCGGTGATCAGTGATCGATACCCGTTGATCGAGGCGTGGTGTTATCTATCGATACTTGGAGTGTTCTAAAATGCGCCTGTGACTGAAACCGACTAGTGTTCGATGGACTTGACTCTGACGGGGCTCGAAGGAGTTACGTGACGTCGCGTGCCTTTCGTAGAAGCGTTTAACGTTGAACAGTCGGGATACTGGATGCTACTTTCGGGATAGTGAACTGGTGAGTGAGGATCTTGGGAGATGTTAGCGATTTTGTGACGATCCTTGAGAACGGTTCAGATGGTGCATACTTGCCGTTTAACGAGCCTGTGTAAGTGCTTTGAGTGTGTTGGAAGGTGCCCGAGGGCTTGAGAAGTGGGTGAATGCATTTGATTTTATAGTACCGGTGTTGATTGAGCAATCATGGTGATTGGTTTCTTGAAAATAAACTTGTGCGTTGTAAGATATTACAGCAGGCACGAAGACGAAAGTATTTACGTCTTCGTGAAATTTCTTGTTACCTGTTAATTATGGAAGGGAAAATTACTGCTCACATTTTGTTGAGTCATGCTTTCTGATTATTTTTTTCTTATCATATTTGTTCAGAGCTTTTTTACTCTTAATCGCATTAGATTATCTGTATTTTGCAGTGTATTTTTGCTCATCGTATGACTTGTCTCGATTTACAAGTAGTCTTCGTTTTTTATTTGACTTAATGTTTTTCTGCTCTTAATAAATTCATACTGCAATAATTGGAACTGTGCGTCGATACGATCAGCCAAGGAAATTTGTATTTGGTATGTCCACTTTCGTAATTGACAGAGAAATTCTCTCGCTTGGAATCCGATACCACTGTTACACTCCGGGACTATTGACCAATTCTTAGAGAGAGGTTCTAGAAGAGGGGGGCACCGACACGTCGAGTTCTACAATGGACGTATGCATGGAACGTGACTGAAATTAAAAGTCTGATACGGTAATGCGTTTTCACTCGCTTGATCGCTCGACGAAATGTTTAGGGACGCAACTTTGTACACTCATCGATCCAATTCTCTTTAGCAAGCACAAAATTACGCCAGAAACAATTCTGTTACTTACACTTGCGTCGCTATTTGCCATTGGTTTTAATTTAACACTGTGTTTGCTGTTTTTATACACGGTAAAACGTGACCAGTAACTACTCAACATCCGTGCAAAAACTAGTGCAATTCATATTAAAATGACTCTTATCGTAGGTTTCTTCCAGTGATTTAGTAAAACTAATTGAACACTCAACATACATTGACCAATAGTAACAGCCATTACCTTTATATTTTATTCTCCTAGGGAGCCAAAAAAAAAAAGAAGCTAGCCTTTTGTATTCCTTTTCAGTTTATTTATCTATGTACTCTCACATTAGGCACCTTAATTACGCCTATTATCGGGTGACTGGTATCCTATCATCTTTGTTCTTCTTCAACTTTACAATATAGATGCATATACTGGAAAAATAACAGGTTCAAGTACCTCGCAGTAACGAATTTTTTCTAACGATTTACGCAATTCTCGGGTTTAAATCACGATTGTGAAAGACTCACCATCGTACGGCGTCGTTACATTTCAATGTAAAATCGGCTTCGTCACGAACCGCTTTTTTTCTTGTCACACTGCACAAGCAGTTCGTGACGAAGAACCGAAGTCTACAAGGAAAACGGGGAATAACACGTAGAAGAAACGAACGGTTGTCCTTCGGAGATGAAAGTGATTGCCTTCGTCCGGGCACCTAACGCGCGTAGCCAAAGGCTGTCCGGTTCCCTCGTCTTCGTCGAACCGTCCTTGACATTGAACGGCCGTCAAGTCCAGAAACCGTAGACCAGTTACGTAAGCCCGCAAGTGCGTCGAAATCTCCTATACACGGATCTCTAGCCGGAGCGCAGGTCTCGTTGGTTCTCGAAAAATCGTCCTGTCCTCCGGCGACCGTGAACCTTCTACCCGATGAATCAGATATGATCTCCTTGGGACCAGCTCGTGTTTCGTCGGTCATCACCATGATTTCTTGCGTCGTTTCTCTCGTTCGGACTGCGTCGTTCCATGCAAACGTGTTCCACACGCTGACATTGGCTTGAATTCACAAGTTTACGAGGAATCCAGTTTTGTATCCTCTGACGCAGCTGATATAATCGGGAGGGCATACATTTTTCATGTTAATAATATCGAATGATCGTATAATTGTGTTGCAGGAATGGGAGTGAGGTTAACGAGCAATTTTATACAATCGCGGAATTTAGGGAATTAAGGATTGGATACAGAATGATTCGGAAATCTAGACCAACCTGTCGATGTGTGTACAGTACTTTTTGGAACAGTGAGCAGGTGTGCTTGGTTAACGTTACATTCAGGAATAACTAGACAATCTTCCATAATGTATTACGTGTACAGTTTCTTGGACGAAACTACTTCCTGTAACGAGACACGTGGATGTTGAACTAGTGACTTTGTAAGATCAACAAACGAGCCACTTACTTAACATAATATTATTCATAGACTGCACATGTTTTAATCCGAATATGTGTAAATTCACGTTGCATTTATTTCGCAATTTCTAGATAGTTTAACGTCCATTTAGTGTTTCCATATTTCCAGCATGAGTACAGTAGATTTGAGGTAATTAAATAAATTACGTATTTCATTGGATAATTTGAAAATTCACAGATTCCATGAGCTCTATATTTCCTTGGAGCAATATATAATAATTATAACCGTAATCTAACACATAATGTATTCATTTTTGCATAAAGATTCTTTATTTTATCATTCGAATATGGACAAAAAATGACTATACTGTACCAGTATTGTGACCAAATACGGTATAATTAAAAAAACGATCGGCTGTTTATTATAACTGCATCGATGCGTTATCGACGCGCGACGCCTCGCATTGCAAAGGAGCAAACCTCTCGGGCTTGTTGTTATGCGTCGTCGGGTCTGACTTACGAAAATGGCAGCGTTCGCGAAATTCTTGCTACGCCGAGAATTTTTCTTTCTTCGTGACGGGCAGTCTGACGTCGGCAGTTGAAAATACCGAGATCGTTCGCAGTTTTTCCTTCTCTTTTCCCTCTTTCTTTCCGTTGCTCTTTCGATTGTAAACAGTGATCGTGTCAACTCTTTTTTAACGGAAAGGTCGGAAGTTTTTTGAAATCGAATCTGTGGCTCCAAGAATTGATGTCAGCATTATGTAACTCTTTCGATTTTCATTTGCAAACTTTACGTTCCAATGCTCCAATTGTAAACTAGAGGAGATTTGTGGTAGACGTAAGACGCTTTTGGAAGGATAGTAACATAAAAGATAGATATACTACTTTAGACTCGAGGACATCTAGCTTCTCCGCGGTGTCGAACAGTCAACAAGTGACCACGAGTTGTCAGGAAGGAGATAAGGTTTTTACGGCTCTCAATGCCAATTGTTTTATTTCCGACCATGCAGAAATCTTTAACATTGTTCTTTGCTCTTCTTTAAACCGATGCGCTATACGAGAATAACATCTTTATCTGCATATCCATGACAGTAGAGAATTTCCTCCAGCCATCCACTGACAAATATTCCATATTACTAATATGCATTACTATTATTTTACATCCGACATTACATGAAGTTAAGAATACGGAAAGTCAATTAATCTCGTGTGCAAATGTTTCAGGGTACAATCGATCATATTCCACGTTTCATAAATTAGGAGAAGAAAAATTTCCAGTAGCCTACGTAGCTTAGCGATCAAATCCAGTGCCCTAATCCTAACATCGAATCCCAGTTCGTTACCTCATCGGCCAACTTCTTTCTCTCCCACATTTCAACCTGAATTTTCTATGACACCTATTCCATTCACGAAACAAATTTCGATTGCCGTTACAATTCCTCGAATCGTCAAGTCCTAAACGTCAAACAGAAAGTTTAGCTTCTCACACCTAGCTCAATGCTATTTACCGAAGATGAACCAAGAGCAGAAAAACCCAGTTCAAGCCAACATCGAATCAGTCAGCAATCTATACCCAATCGTCCATCCACTTCCCCAGCGACCACCATACCAAACTCAACCGTACACGATCTCCAATTACAGGTAACCAGCGAGCCCAAAGGGAACATCGTCGGCCGAAAAGCCCTTCGGGAAGAATGAGCCCCCGAAAGCACTTCATCGGGAGCTCTTAAGTCCACTCGATTCGAGATCCCCGGGAAACGTAGCCTCGAAACATGTTGCCCACGTCGAGACTGCTGCGCGAGGAGCCATTGGTATCATCGACGGAGGCGAACGTGCCACGTGATCCAGCCAGCAGCCAGATCGCGGTTCCGTCGATCGTGGTGGAGGGTGTCGAGGATAACGACGACGATCCCCCGCCTTACACCGCGATCGCACCCCCGAATCACGTCGGTTGGCCTTACGACTTTTCCGGTATACCGTATTCCACGCGCACCCCGCCATCCTTGGCGCCGTTCCAAACGATCCCGACTACAGCCACCGGTCATCATCTCGAGGGACAGGACGGTCAGCACACGTCAATCTCCGTGCCATTAATGCCCTGCCGGCTGTTCAAGTTCGGCTCCCACAGATCTCTGTTCGCGCACAGAGGCCTGCCGTTCACGGATAACATCTCCACGTGCAAGGATAACCACGGAAGGACGCGCAGTAAGTAGCACCTGGTCGGGTTTTACTTTATTCAGGTATGGAGAGAGGCCTCTCCGTGACTCATCCCGAACGTCCTTTCGCTCCGTGCTGTATGTAATTAACATTTGATCACGTAGATACGGGAATTCGTGAAGTTTTTCTGGAGGTGTTCTTGGTGTGTTGTAGTGGCTGTGTCGATCGTTTGGTAAGATTTTGGGGCACAGGGTCATTCGTTCGGTGTTTGTACGCTGGTGTATGATGAAATATGGTAGAGGTTGAGGATGTTTGAATATTGGGCATATAGAAGGCTGTAAGTGGTATGTGCTTGAAAAAATCTTTAGTTCTGTAGAGAATGAGTGTGTCAAGGCCGATCTCAGTAAATGAGAACGGAAGTGCCATTACAGTAAGAAATAAGTTTTTATATATTTTGGTAGTAAATAACATTTGAGTATTTGAACAAGATTGTATTTTTTTAGAAATTTCTATTTTTGTCACGCACAGCCGCTTTTATGGGCAGTCTACATTTTGATACTTTATTTCCCGGAACATAATAGGTGAAGTAGTGTATTTATATTAGTAAGTATCAGAGCTGGGTAAAATTTGGAAAGGAAATATATCAAATACGTTGTAAATTCGTCTGTGTGAACAAACGATACGAAACAATCACTACAGTTACCGTTGAGAAACACCGATTTTTGATCACATCGAAAAGTGCATTGGCTCATCGTATCGAGAAACGTCATTTACCTTGCATTCCACGGAATCGGTGTCCACGCGTTCAGGGTTTCCTTCTTGGAATCGTTTACAGAGCGTAAACGCACACACAACACCGAACGAATTGGATCGAATGTAAAGTGCAGAGAAAACCGTGGCCCCCGATGCGACGCGGCGCGTTTTATAAAATTTTCCATCGCTTGGAGCCAAAGCACCCGCGCGATAACGAGATCTTCAAATGTTCAGTTTTCAACGCGCGTAATTCGACACGGTGAAAATTCATTACCATAAATGTTTCATTGGAATGGGTGTGAATATAACGCCGCTGAATACGGCCGGTTCGCATTACGTTCACGTTATTTTTCCTTTTTTTCCACGAAACACTCGTTATTTTTCACACGGTCATTATCTTCCTGTTTCAATTTAAAGTTACATTCGTCATTCAATATTAACGGTTAACAAATGTTGTCTCGTTCATTATTAACGCTTCGAAATTCGAGAGTTGTGAGCTCCTCCTCGGCGTGTGTTATTAATCTGAAAAATTAAATCTGAATTGCACGCAATAATACCACAAATATTTCTATGCTATCATAAAACAATTTGTTATTCCATTTGTATGCTTGAATGTTTATGCACTTGTTATTAATACATTTTGATGTATATTCATCGCGATACTCGTTTCTTTTATCAAAAATGTAGGTAGTAACATAAAATGGGCATTTATTTGGGTTTGAATTAATTCTAGAATATTATTATGTGAATTCACACATAGAGATGCTGAAGAAATTATAAATACCTTCTGCTTTCGCTTTAATTAACGAAATTTTATGAAAAGCACAAGTATATTTCTCGTGCGGAACATTCCTGGCTGAAGGTATGTGAATGAACACGGAGAATATAAATATTTGTCAACAGGATACGGCGCCATCCTCGTCGCCGCGGCTGTCATCCTATTCCTCATGGCTCTCTCGTTGCTGGTGAGGTTCGTGATGGAAAAAAGCTTCTGGAGAGGTTAGCCCCGGGGACTTCGAGGATCGTTGGATAGAAATCGATTTTCCGACGTAGCGCTTTCCCTCCATTCACGATACAGACTGAATCTAGAGTAAGCGTTATCACGGTATAATTTTCCCTTCCCCGGTTGCATCGACGAAATTGCAACTATAATTAGAGCATTATTGCTCGTTCCCTCCTTTTGTCTCCTCCGGAATTCAAACCTCGTGATTCGTACATTCCTTGTAACTCGTGAGTGCAACACCACACGGATCTGTAACCTTTTGTAAAGCCCGTACATCGCGTGAATCAAGATACAACGTTAGCCTAGATCTTAATGTTAAGACACTTGTATAAACCGTTTCTTTTTTATTACTGTTGTACTTGGTATTTTGTAAGTTACAGGTAAGAAATAGACACCTACTGAAAGAATTATTTTTAAAAATTCGTACGGCTTAGTTTTTTCTACCTGACTCTTGGATATTTTGTAACTGAATCGTAAATTACTTTTCTGGTGCCTTGTATGCCTAAGTTCATTATTGTTAGAATAGAGCAGTTTTCGTAATTATCACGCCACTTTAATACCTTTCGAATTATCTTGCAATTTTCTGGAGATTTCGAAGGATCTATTGTTATACAAGTAATTTAATTATCTGAGTATTTTTTGAAATTTCGTATTGATATGATAAATAAGGTTCAGGAATTCTCTTTACAAATATTTCGTATCTTGTCACGTAATGCTTTACAGCACACATATAGCTCAGGTTGTAATGTCAGTTGTTTGCACTAGTATTATAAAATACAAGAATCTCCATTTTATCATTTATGCACGATCAAAGGAAAAATTACCTTTGCATCGCCGCACGACAATACGGAGATTAAATATTTTTGTTGATCCAATATTACGTTCGTGGAAAGAGCCGATGGCTGAGTTGGACGAGCAAACATTCGCGTGTTGACATTTGGTCGTAGTTGGCGGTCTGGCCTGCTTCGGCAGATCGTGTCTCATTCTACTTAAAAATTTGTCGGTTTTCAGACTTTGCTCCAACCGTTTTCTGTGTATTTGTAAAAGAGTTACTGAATTTCTTATTACGATAGAAAATGGTACGAAAATGACACTTTTTTAAAGAATGCTTTAGTAACTTCAAAGTGTCGTGAATATAATTTTTTGAACTATGAATTTCTGTATACATTAATCACTTTTCTTTTCTGTTTGACTGTCTTGAATATAAAAGTGCTTCAATGGACTGTCGTACATCCAATGATCCAAAATAAGGGATTCCAATCGTTCCTATCATCAATAGCATTTCTAGAATTTCCGAACAGTTTTCTTCATTTTTCTTTACGATTTATTATTCAAGGTACGTTTAGTCATCACATTTTACATGCAAGTGATTTTCGTATGTAGACCATTCGACTCATAGTTACCTTCGAATGTAAACAGTCAAACGTGAGATAGTCTGTCTGTCTGCGCTGAAGGTGATCATTTTTAGTGATTGCTTTATAATGACAACTTACCACCATATAGTGATCGATGCTGGTAGTATAACGCGACTACACGTGCGTCCTCAATTACCTGTTTGTGTGACCAGTGGTCTTACGTGACGTTTTACGATAATAAATGTCTCGGCTGCTTGATTAGGAATGTCGTACTGTCGAATTTTATGCGATGGGACTTTCCTTATTAAATATTTAATCTAATGAGTTACGTAGGAAAACGAATAATGTGATCATAAACTTCAATTGTATACCATGAGTATTGTGTCTCAGTCAGTAGACAGAAGTAAGTTGTAATAAGTTAGTATTAACCAATAAAGGGGAAATAAATTGGTAAACATTAATAAGTAATAAGAATAAAGAGAAATGTAGTAATTGAAATGTGGGGCGAGTTGATTCGGGTATTGAGTTCAATATAATCTGTAAATAATAATCAGTAGTAGAGATAAAATTAGCGACGAAGATTAAATCTTAGACGTTCACTTTACAGCTTAGATTACCACCGTATTATCTACCCTATCTGGGCTCCATATAATATCCATAATAAAATGAACAGTGTATTCATCATTCGTGTCACTATCTCAGTCTGATCATCGACGTGGTTATTCTACTGGATACTCTCGAGAATTCAGTTGAACAAAAACTATTCCCTGGATCACTTTACAATTTCAGACCAGAATTTATCAAACACTTTTTCATACATAATTCCTATAAAATTTCCAGATTTTCAAGCTGATTCGCATCAATGTTCCGCATCGAATTACACGCATCACCCAGACATACATTTCAGCTTGTCTGCATCCGGTTAACCAAATAACAACGAATCACATTACAATCGCAATATAGAAACGATATGAAATTTCACTCGACGATTAATTTCCGGCTGGAAACCTCGGATATTTTCAAGCTCACCGAACTTGTCCCGATTCTACAACGCGCGTTTCGTTACACACCCTTGGCACTCGACGATTCACCTGTGTCCAGCGTTGTTCCGTCACGGAATTATAACTTCACCTCAATGATTAACAGTTTTATACAGCCGTCGTCCGGGCTTGACTCTGATAAAGCCGTTGCCCGAACGGTCGCCCAGGTCAGTCCCGCAGGCGTGGGATCCAAGCAACGCGCTGCCACCGGGGAAATTAGCCGGGCGAAATAATTCATGGACAAAGCTTTTATTTGACGTCCACGCGGAGCCCTCCGATATTACTGGCGAGTCGCGTTCGCGGTAAACAAATGCCCGGTAAAATTGTTGATTCCCGCTAAGCACCCTCCGGAGTCTTTATCGTTTCACGAGTACTGGACAACCGTGTCGCGGTCGAGGCCCCGATGTTGAAACGAAAAATATTATCGCTGTAACAGCAATGTTAACGGGCAGCAACTCCGCTGGAATTGATCCAGGCCCGTTTCACTCCTACCTCCCCTTTCCTCATTGCTTCATGGAATCGTCAAGCGAGAGGATCGTAACTTTTACGAGAAACGTGCGTACAGTGCACCGTTCGTACTTGCAAATGAACCTCGTCTGTTGAACAACTTACAATGGTAGTAAAAGAGGAAGCTGAGATTTTAGCCTTCTCTTCTTGGAGTAGCGGTTGTGACAATAATTGCGTGAACAGTAACAACTGAGGTCGTATGGTCTCCTAGTACTTTCGTGAACGGTACAGCAAGGCAACCATTTTGCTTTACGTTGCGTAAGTTAGTAAAAAAAGTAGTCGATAGTTCAGATAGATTAGTGATTAGTAATTTAGTGATCAAAGAGGTAACCTGGCAAGCAAAATATCCTGTAAAGAGAATAGACTTTCCGTATTGTGGCTCGTGCTATTAATTAAGCTTCGAACAATACTAATTTAAAGTAAATACAGCTGAATTAAACTAAAACAGAGACTTCTTTAACGGCCTTCGGAGGGCAGGTCAACGGCCAGAAAACGGCCGGCCGCAAATTAAAAGAAAATTCCACTAACAGAAATTCCCTTTTTCCGAATACGTCTACGACCATAAACTTTCTTCTCTTTCAATTTCGAACGTCACGGTGCACTTCTGGCATACAGTCCCTTCGAATTAAACTTCAAATTGCGTACAGTCAGGAGGAACAAGGGTCCGGTTGCAAAAATAAATACTCGAACGAGGACCAAGGATATGGCCGCCTTAAGAAAATTGGACCGCCGAGCTCGCTAGCGTTTAATTCACGTGAGTGGGTTAAGCTGCTTGCCAGCGGTTCCCAGCAGTTAATTACCCGACATGAAAGGAACCCTAGCCGTCTTTCAGCCGGCGATTCAAGCTCCCCATAGGCATACCGGTCGAGTCCTTCGTTCGACGACCTTGAGTACTCGGCAAATCGCGTATTCGTCACCTGTAAGTCTTTATGGCAGTGATGGGCAACTCAGCTTCCGCCAAACTCACTGGTGGGCAACAGCGTGCAGTGTGCGGGCATATGGCAGTGGTGGGTGAAATGTGTGAGTGAGAGCGCGTATCTATCATTTACTTCACAGACAAATATGTCGTGAATCACGATGTGTTCTGCCTTGCAACCCCTTTACAGGAGTTCGACATCTATCGTATGTCCCCAAGAATGAAAATTTTGACGAGAAACGTATGAAACTATTGCATATGCAGCTTTGAACATCGTACGGAAAATTTACAAGTTACAATGATATTTGTATAAATTTAATTACAATTGATTTAAATACTACTTAATAGAAAGGCACCGTTTTCGCGGGCCCGGTTGCCCATCACTGCTTTATGGTATCCTAATACACTGAAGAGGTTACATTCACACCGGTGAACCGCCGGTATAGTAGCGTGTCGGTTGAATGGACAAATGATGTCGGGGAAAATCTGTAGGTGAAATGCTGCAAATGATATTAATTTAGTGTCTCGGGTTACAGGGGTGATTTTATACCGACTGGGAATTAGAATTGTAATTGACTTTAAATTAATCGTTTGTAGAATACTTCTTTTTGTGGAAGACTTCTTTTACCTGAGGAACCTACCAGTATTCTATGTCATACCTATACTCGCGTATGAGTTTTCTAGTTACGATTGATTTACCTCATCAGAAAATTCACCGTGTACTACTGTTTTTTTATCGAAACGACCGTGTAGATTTTACATCTTGTCGGCGAACGGATATTCTGTTGACATGAAACTTCATTAACTTTCAGTTCGTTCGGAGCGTAACGTGCAAATTGATTCACCTTTCCGGACTGTGTCAATTAAAGTATCAGTTTCACGGAACCATCGCGGGCGAGCGTCGGGGGTCGGCCCCGGTATTGGATTTTTTTCTTCTTCCGGTTCCCCGGCCAGCTTCCGGCTCTGGTAAAAAAGCCAAAGAACGAGTGTCATACGTCCTGGAAATAGCACGAAAAACAGGGGATCGTACTTCGGGGGTGATTTATCGGCGAAGTTGCTCGAAGCGAAACATGAATTCCCGATTGTGTAACAATGATTCATGGCGATATAAAGCGGGCGCAATAAAATCGTGCAGAAGTTCTGGGGGAGGGAAAAAGGGAAATCGGGCCAAAAGGCAGTCCGATGGAACTGCCCTGTCGTTATGCGCTGTACTACCGTCGATGCAGCCAACTGTATCCACACTTTCCTATTCTTTTTTTTTTCAAACTCGCGTACTTTTCGTCGACTGGTGGATGATCAATTTTCCAAACCGCGGACGATAAAAAAAACCACATGCAAGTTTGATGTTGGATTCACTCTGATCCACAGTATATTCATTTTAAAGGTATTTAACCCTTTAATCCTTTTTTCTTATGTACTAGTTACTATCCTTGTTTTCGAGAATCTACAAATTCAAAATTTTCTTCCATAGTATATAAAAGAAAAACTCAGACAGAATTATATTTCCCAGACTAACGGTTTTAATACTTAATAATAATACGTAAATAATGTTCAATTCAAGAGGTATTATAAATATGGCTTACCGATATCATCCTGTAATAAAACGATCCAGTGACCGAATGTGTCCGTTGCCAGAGCG